TTTTTAGACGCTTCGTGATTGACGACAATCGTGTTTCGCTTTCTCTTGACGAGGAATAAATCAGTTCTTGAAAAATAATGTCCATTACGATGATATGATCGCTAACACGAATTTCATATGAAATATTGATAACGAAATTGTACAAATAAAGTTTTGTGGGTACAATCAAATATGAATATCGACACCTTCATATCTTATTATGGTAAAGAAAAAGTTCTAATACCCGTTGTCGAGTGGAAACCACACCGTTTCATGTGTAGTGTATGTAGATCATAGAATGTTACTCCATCATCAACATATCAGTCTTTAACTATGTTCTGCTGAATATAAGTCTCTCCTTTAGGAGGTTTTGCCAGTAGTTGCATGCTTGGCAGAAGGATTGACAAGTTAGTTAGTTTAGAGATGTTTTAAGAAAGGCGCGGTCTTTATTAGTATTATATAGTATTTTATATTATATATATCACAATTGTAATTACTGATTAATTATCATTTCACAATAGACTTATCTGGACTGCTTGTTTTTTTTTTTACTACTATGTACACACCAATTATACATAAAATGTGATAGATAAGAGTAATGTACGAGCTTAAATCTAAAAGAGTTCTCTTCCAGCAAACCCAATGTGGAAAGGAGTATCAATGTCAGCGTGTAGAGAGGTGTACAATATTGTGAAAATTTTACATTAATTTGTACATAATTTATTATATTTAATCCTATAAATACACACACATATATAATTACACCTATGCATATATTTACATGTTTCATAATATTAAAACATGTAGAAATAAAATATATGATCTGCTATCAGTAAATTAAATATTTTGACTAATGGTATTTCACCATGAAATGATATAAATATGGATTTGGATACTAAGTAGAAGTTATGGGGGGAAGGGATTGTTAGTAGTTCGGACTACTAGCCACATTGCTAGCAATCTATCATCTATCCTGTCAGGTCGACCTCCACGTGGTTCCCCCTGGAAACCATCTGTTGAATTCCAAGTGTATTCATCACGATGGGCTAACTGACCTGCTTTTTCATTCTCACCTATTATTTTACTAGTGCCCTGTCGGCGTACACTGCTAGTGCAGGCTGGGTGAACACTCCATTGTCATCCATTAAAAAAAAGTAGAAGTTAGGCTGTGTATAACATGTTTCTCCATACTGTGTTATAAACTTTTTAAAAGCCGTTTTCAAAATATTATTAGCTTTTGCTCTTTCGTAAGGATCTTTTCAGTTTTGCACCGAAGGATAACGACCTGGTGCGTGCATCCCATTTTGTAATTTAAGCTGAAAGAAAATGTTTGCGTCTTTAGTGTCGGAGACGATTTTATGCTTAGATGCTAATTTGGGAAATTTTTGTCGAAACGTTTTTATAATAAATTGAAATTATGGTATATTAACGTATTTCCGGCCCAACCAACAGCTTTTGCTCACTTTCCCCTTTAACATTTCATCGTTATGAATTTTAATTAATGTGGCGCAAACTCCCTATTTAACCTGAACGGTGCTGAACCAATCGGTCTTTTGGGACGTCAGGTACCGACGCAACGATGGCCTCTGAAATTATCTATAATCAGGACAGGGCAATAGTTGAGTAAGGACTGTGTTAAATTATAAGCTATAAATGCTGGTCGTATATTTAGACGAGGTCTGTAGTCTTGTGTGGTCATTATTAGAAGTTTCGTCGATCGATTAGACGTTGTCTGCTATATCCACCTGTTTGTTGGTGAGACCGACGATTTTGTGAATATTCATATACAATTCTTGATAAATTTATCAAAATGTTTCTCATGAATAAAGAAGTATTTGGAATAGATCGTCCGATGCTGGCAATAGGATCAAATTTGTATGTTGTCTCCGCTAGTCTTAGGTCTCATGAAAATTTATAATGCGGATGTATCGGCATGCATTTTATTCAGTATTTTATGAAGCAAAAATTGAACACGACGGCGACCGACTTCCAAAGAAGCCGCATCGGAGGGCATGTATGGGAATAAAAATTCATAACAATTCCATTTAAAAACATGCTTTTGTAATCCTAATCCGTCAATTTAATTGGCGGCCACAATATATTTTTTTATGCAACTTAGAATGGCAAACATGATGTCGGCCAGCTTTATTATTTAGTGCCACTTTCGTCATCTTTTATATTTTCCGCTTTTCAAGCCCTTTTGTTTAATATCCATATTAAGGCGGTTGAAGAGATACATATAATAACTCTTATAACTGTAACGATGAACACTTTAAACATTTTACAGTGTTGAGTACTGCATATTGTTTTTTAACAGAACTGAAGATGTATGCAAAATTTCAACTCGATCAAATATTAAAAAGTAAAAATTTATGCAAACAAATAAATTAATTAGCATACATTGTAAATGAAATAAATGGAACTCTTTGGAATCAACTTCCGGCAGCAGTATTTCTGAACAAATACGACAACACATTCAAGAAAAGAGCATATTCCCTTTTAAAAGGCCGGCAGCACACCTGCAATGCCTTTGGTGTTGTGGGTGATCATGGGCGGCGCTAGTCACTTACCATCAGGTGAGCCGCATGCTCGTTTGCCCGCTGTGTTGTAAAAAAGTTTTTAAGAAAAATCATAGTACTTTCTATTTGTATGAATTTGTATTGCGCTTTTTTTGCATAATGAAGCACCTGGTAAGGGGATGCGTTTAAGCTAAACTAATCCTCTTAACGTTTTGTTGAACGTATTTACCGTCATCAGTCGACAAGCCAGCAAGTCGCTGTCTAGTCAGTTTTATTATTGTGCTGGGGTACTCCCAGTAGCAGCAGAACAAAAAGTTCCAGAACTTTTGTATTTAAAAAAAGTAAAACATACTTTTGATTAAGAAGTGTTCTGTTGTTGTATTGTAGCTCTTAACACGGCCAAAACTTACCAAAAGGAAATCGGATACAAAGAAGAGGAATTGCGTTAACATTCAGAGAGAAATATTCTAGAACTTTTGTAAAATAAAGATGTAAAACATAATGTTGATTAACAAGTGCTCTGTTGCAGTATTTAATACCGCTTCTCATTATCGATTACCAATCAGGTGCATACAATTAAAATAATATTTAAAGAAAAAATAATAATGTATATAGTAATAAATCAAATACCTTTATTTTGCTTGAAGAGTCCTATAAAATTGGTACACGATCTTTACTAGTGAACACATTTTTCACCAGAATGTGGCGTACAAAATTATATTGGAAAATTAACTAAAAACAATATGTGAAATTCCCGCAAACAGAATTTTTTACATAAAAATTTTGTTACAATAACATTCACGTTAATAAAAGTAAATACGCCGACAGAAAATAGAAAATTTTAAATATGCTAACAATACTATAAAATTATTATCAAACAATTAAGCGGTAAACAAAAAAAAAAACCTAAAGAACACTTAACGTAATGTCTTAAGCAGATAAGTACTACTTTATAACAATCACTAAACACGAATTCTTGTTTCGAAACCATTCAAAATTAATTAAAATGCATTTGGTGGCGCTTTTGTTCGATTCTAGAGTAATTTTTATTTCTCTATCAAGTGACGATAGTTCAGTGATGCTGAATTATTTATACCGTCAGTATAAGCAGGCTTTTGGCAAGGCCCAAAATGTCTTCGTACTCGAGTATCTCTGTATTTTAAATTGTTATAATGATAGGTTCTCTATCTTATTTTTTAAGTTTTCCATGAGAGCACAAGCGGTGATAACAGAATCTCCGTCATTGAATTAATAACATCTGTTTAATCTTTAATACATGACTGGCTATTTCTCATGGCTGTGTCTGCATGAATCGTTGTATAAGCCATCCCACATGTTAAGTTAGGACTCGTGTATCAAATTAAAATCCACTTAGTTACATTGTTATTGAGTAAAAACGTCTTTTTAAAACTTTCATTTTAATTTCAAACATTTACGACTGTATTATAATTGTAGAAAAATATACATATTGGATATGTTTATATCACTCGTTGAAAGCGTTTGTAAATAAAAGTCCTAAATGTAAAGGCCAAATCATAAGTTATTATTTGAACTTGTCGTATTAATATTAAATGTATTTAAAAAAATAGGTTCCGAACCGCAGTTAGGCTTTGGCGATATTTTAAAAAATAATACATCAATTTTTTTAAATTTAATTAGCATAAATACATTAAAAAAAAAAATAGATTTTTAGTACCACTTAAATCTTGAGCTTGTGTGTGACACTTTACATTTCGTTCTCAAATGTCAATATTTACATTAATGTTCTGCTGTTTTAGCAAGGTTGGACAGTAAATAAGCTTTCAGTTTAAATTTTGTTTTTAACGGTGATATTGTTTTGCAAGTCGGTAGGTAGAGAATTTACTAATCGCGGTATGGGTTAGGTGCTCGTTCGCTCGCCATAGTAGTTTTTTGCTCGAGTAGTGACTAGCTTGTTTTGCGCGGCATTGGTATTCTATGGTAATTGATTTAATTGAAATTAAATAGAACATTAGAATAATCTGCTATATTAATAAGTTATTAAAGTAACAGAAGCAAGGGAAACTATCAATAAATATTATTGTTAAGTAGACGCATACATGCAAAGGTTACGCAATGCGACCAACAACATCTATACGTCTGTTTTATAAGAAGACTCGTAAACTTATTCGTATCGGATGTTTCCTCTCTGACCTTGAGACCTTTTCCTCTAATCGTATAAAATTACCGTTTGACGCAACCTCACATCGGCTATGGGGGGATTGAAGGTGTCTAATGGAAAGATTTATTTTCAAATCGTCTCTAATTAATATATTCATTTTTCACCAAAAAAAAAAGTTGTAAAAGTACTACTAAATAGTGCGGAGTGCGAGGCAGCGACGTCCGCGTCCTCGCTACAGGTACGGTGTCGGTGGGCGGCATGCGAGAGGGCGGCGCGGCGGCAGCTACGGGGGCGGGAAATGCGCGCGGGGTACGGCTGCCGTGGCTCCATGCGATGTGAGCAAAGCCTCCGCGACACTCGCGCGTCCGGCGTCGCCGCGCACCCACGCTCGTGCGCTCGGTACGCCACGTTACGTAACGCTATTTACTCCGACATCTGTTGAGTGCGCCACGGCCCAGCACGCGCGACACGCTTACACCGCTGACCATCCCGCGCGCACTTGTCATGTCAACATTCGCGACCACCAGCGATATTAAAGCCGTCGTCATGGCTACCACCACGCACCTGACCGGCTATACGTAAACCATGTAGACTTTCCGACTACCATACTGCCAACATATTCCTGCCAAATAAGTTTAAGACCTAAGTTTTAAAATGTTTTTGAATCGCTTGTTGCTTGTGAGTGGAACTTTTATGAAGAACGACTAAGACTGATGGTTAGAATATCAAAAACATTCCTTCCAAACATGTCAAACATAACTTAATGAGACTGCTATTGCTGAGTTCACTGCCATTTCTGCTTCACGATCGCTTTCACTGCCAGCTGAACCTGCCACTATCGCATAAGTTAGGTTAGGTACTCTTTGTATAAAGAGTTGATTTAGTGTTGACCGTAGATCCCAATACGTCGCCAAGCTGCCGTCCGCGGAGTTACCGTTCGACAATAAGTCGCTGTTCACCAAAATTCGCGATAACATCAGCTCGTGGGTCTTGTGGTGGCGTCAACGCCATCTTCGGATGGGCGCACCGCAGACCCCGAAACATATTGAGGATGACAGCGTGCCAAGATTGGCCGTAGTCAAGGAGGTCCGCGACTCGCAGCAAGATCGCAAGCTGGAGCGTAGACGTGGTGGTACGGGCCCGAGGCGCCGAGGCCTCGAGAATGAGCTTGAAGGAGAACGACGAAGACCAAGACGAAAACCACGAAAGAGGTAAGCAATATTGATGTAAAAACGCTCGTCATATAAAAAATAACTGAAACCCTAAAGAATTTTGGCACACAAATCTCGGAGCATTGAGGTCTATGTACCTACAAGAAGAAGCAATGATACAAGGAATCAGTTTTTTAGTAAGTCAACATCAAGTATTCATATCAACATCGGAAACTGTTTTCTCATTTTACAGTTTGAAAGAAACATTTGTCTAAAGTTGGATCTTTTAACTTGACAAATCGCCTACTCAGCTTAAAATGTTGTTAACTTGACCGAGTTTTAGAGGGCACGGAATTTGTTACTAGCGAGAAACGTGTAGCCTTTCGAACTCTGCGTGTGAACTACGGTTAGGTAATTTAGTAACCAATTTAGTTCTGCGGGTATTTTGACATTGAACATTTTAACGTAAAAATGACTCAGTGAGGTGAGCCTTGAATGAAATTGATTTGCATAATTGTTGTTGGGTCTCTGGCCTTATAATCAGAACATATATTTTTCAAATAGTCTATTTATTGGTGCAAAATGTTATCAATCTTTGCTTTGATATATATATATATATATATATATATATATATATATATATATATATATATGATTTGATCACACAACTTAGTTTTTATTTGAATTATGCGTTTTAATATAGTCTCTGGAGTTGTTAACAATTCTGGTAAAAGCTTATATTTTTTTTTAAATTCCCTTTGTTTGCCTTGTCCGCTATTTAGGCAGGATATTGCCAGCCACTGGATAATCGTATTTGGTATTGCGTGCTTACTGCCGCTCTTGGTCAAGGTCTTATAATATTTCATATACTATCAGAGATTCATAATTATACACAACACACGCGATTTGTTGTAATATATCAGAATAAACTTTTATATATTCTGTGATAGGTGTCAATATTTTTTAAAACCTATTGGTAATGTAATTTTCTTTTGTTCTTTTACTATCCATTTCTTTAAAATTTTCTTTATTATTTCAGACACTAATTATCCAAGGCTGAATAGGTTTGATTTTCTACTGTCGGTATCCTTATTTCGGATTTTCTTAAGTTATTTAAATTCCATGCAGGCACAGTCTAGAGTTATTGCTTCCTTCTTCTTTCCTTAATATTTGCTATTGGAATATATGAGGAGGCGATAGTAAATTTACGGGCAATTTTGTAAAAGGCTTTTACACTAATTACCGACGGGCAAAAAACAGTACGAAGTATTTTTTATTTTTGCTATATATTTAAATATTTATCAATCATATTGGTAGAATAGTGGGCCCACTGGACATAGGTCTCCAATCATATTTGAAAGTATGGTTCTGGAATGTCATAATTAATTACTCATCATGTTTAAGTATAATCATGTTCTTAAGGCACCCATAGTAGCCTATGAGCGACACAGTATGTTCTCTGTTAACCATGTTGTAATCGCTTACATCAGATAGGCCGCCGGCTTATTCGTAAATCATGCATTTTGTTATCATTAATACCGTAAAACTTTAATTACTTTTATAAAGTAGATACTATTTTATCAGTAATCAATACCTTTTATGCAAAGTTCGTACTATATATAGTACGACACTAAACTTTAACTTATTGCTTAAATGTTGGCGAAATAATCTCTTTCTAGTACTCAGTCACAATATGGCATGTAGAATGGTTCTTTACCATCGTTTTATTTGTTTGTCTCAAAAGAAGGGTAAGAATAGCACAACAATATTTCGTTTCCGTTCAGACGGGGCCCCGAGTCTCCTACAATATTTTTCAACAGATGTTGATGTTACTGTAAGTACATCTGGCAAAGTTTCCGTCCTTATGTTTTCTATTCAACTTCATTCTTCCTCAAGGCTACAGCCTCAGCGTCCCATTCAATGAAATAGTCTGTAACATCGCTTTTTGTGAATAGGGAAACTCGCTGAATAACTAGGAGGTTAACTATTCTACCATGAATACAATTGTATTTTTAATCTATAGATTACTCTTGTGTTTTTTTTTTACATATATATTTTGATATATATTTCATTTTTTTTTTTGTTACATTTGTTCACAAGTTTTAAATGCCACCAAGTCCAAACAATTATAAAGCTAATAGAAATTACCGAAACGTTTAATTGCCTTGCATCCAATGAGTTTTTAATTAAATATAAAATAAAATAAAATAAAAATGGTCATTATAAATGTTAATGCTGAAAATAAATTATATCAAAATCATAAGCAATCATTCATTATTTTTAAAGGTGCCTTAATTTTAGGGAGCAAGGGAAATTAGAATAAGGAATGAATTTAAAACAATACAAAAGGGATTATTGTTATTTAATAATTTAATACTTGTATTTCCACCCCTTGTCGCGCAATAACAGTTTTGCAAATTGTTTCTCATCGGTTTGATGAGTTTTATTACGTCTTCTTTTGGGGTCTTTCCCCTATTCCGTTTTTAGAGCAGCGTTTATGTCAACAATCGACGTGGGAGCTGTATTTCTTATTACAACTAATTTTATCCCATAAACGTTATCAGTTCTCATCGGTTTACTGAGTTTTGTCTTTTTTTTTTTAATTCCGTCCTTTTCTACTAAAGATGCCTTTAACTCGGCAGTCGATGTAGGAGCTAGGTTTCTTATACCCTAATATCATCTTTTATTAAGAATTATCTTACCAATTCCATAACAAATTATACAACAAAGAGCATTGTCAGCCATTTTTTATACCAGAAACCTCCTGACATATGTGGAACTGTTGCACAATTATCTAATGGGACATACCAGAACATTTAAACAAGAGGCTTTTTAGAATAGCGTGTTTCTGAAATTGGCCCGACCGGGAATCAATCCCGGAACAATCCCGCCTGATCCCGCAAAGCAATTTGCCAATGGCAGCGCCGCGGAGGGAGTCCATTGTTACTGATGTATCCAGCGTAAGAAAAAACTGGCTTAGATGTGTCCTCGGCTAAAGAGGCAGTTTTCACGCGGTAAGTGTTCGGTAGATTTGTAATGAGTAAGTAAGTAACCGATGTAGCACAAGTGCTGGTAACATTATGAAAAACGAATGGAGTTGTCAACTTCTTCGTAAGAGATTCACTCGTTCAAATTAAAATTATAATAAAAATATAATTTATATGATAAATTTATTATCAACTTTCGTGGGATTTTTGCTATTTATATACCCAAACTATACCAAAGAGGTTAAGAATAGTTAAGAAAGATGTTTTTTTTCACTGTTCACATAATGGATACTCGTCAAAATGCATTGAAAATCGATACAAATTTGTGATTGGAAAAAAAAAAGAAAAATGTATTAATTTAGAATAAAATATTTAACATTTAAATAGAAATAAAACATCGTATATTACGCTGTACGAATATACGAATCACGGCTGTGGCGATAGTTTGAGCGGGCGCTTGCGGATTCAGACGGTGACGTCACCTCACCCAAATTTCACCGATCCTCGAAACAGGGCCCACCTTGAACCGTTAACGACCCTCCGGTAGGCCTTGAACTGAATCGTTACGCGGGACAAAAGAAACCATTATAATTTACATTTCGTGCACTATTCAGTAATGCGAATTTTTACGATAACACAACGCCGATAAATTTACAAGTCGTTTATTACCACGCGGCGATAGGTGTCATGGAAGCGAAATATGGGTGTTTCATGGGACGTGATTAATTTTTAATGATTGTTTCACTAACATGATTTTGTCATTTGCTTTTTTGATTTATGACATTTCTAAAGTTATAATTAAATGGGTCGATAATGATTCGTTAAATAGATTTAATAATTTCCTAGACTATTGTCGATGTTTTTATTTATTGTTTGAGGAAAACGAATTAAAAAGAAATCGAAGGAGATAAGAAAAAAAAAACCGAAAAATATTACAAGATTCAAGATATATTTATTTGTAAAACATGCGTATAAATACATGAAGATGTTGACAATATAATAACGTTCGACATGTTTAGCCTGTACGCCATACAAACATATGGGGTTACACAGATAGTTCACGTTGTACATCAAGTCCATTTTATACCATTAATCGTCATCACATTACAATTTTCAAATACATTTAAATAAATAATAATTGTCAGTCAAAATTAAAAGAACGATGTCACAATGATGTTAATAACTATAAATAAATATTCGTTTTACATTACAGTTTCATATAGTTTTCTTGTGAATTTTGTACATTTGACGTAAATTACATGTTAATAATATTTTAAAATGCAGCAGAATTTCCCTAAACATTTAATCAAAATATTTTATTTTTCACAGATATCGCAATCGGGGTTATTATTCTATTCGCTCTCATTAAAAAAAACTGTGACTAGATGTGGGAATAGGTCTGAATTATTTACAGGATGATTCAGGTCTTTTTCCAAAGTTAAAATACGTCTTTGGTGCCCTTGCTATTTCTGTGAAAAAAGCACTGTCATAGTGCAAGCGGATGCGGATTGTTTGTCGTCTTTCTCCGACTTTTTTATGGAACAATGTGTGGTATACCTTCTTCTTTCAACCCTTCATATTAGAACTTTTTGTATAGCGACTGAAGGACTCTCTGTCCTGGGTTATTATAGGAGCTGGTTTCTGTATTTTCATGATACTGGACCACCATGCAGCAGGAGGTCTTCCTTTATCCCTGGCGTGTCGTAGTGATATTCATTACAGTTTTTATTACCAATCATCATTCCTTTTCATTACATAGCCATACCATCGAAGCCTTTTTTTTATTTGTCCATTATTGCTGCAACTCTGAAAGATCCTCTCATATGGTCAATGCGTATTTTATCCATATGCGTTACGCCACCTGCCTAACGCAACATCTTCATTTCAGCAATGTGCATATAAATTTTCATAAATCTGACTCGTACTGATCCCCGGATATCCCCGAATCATCTTGTGTAGATCTTCTACTAGTGATTTTGTTTCCATCACGAATGTTGTGGAAAACCGCTGTTGGAGGGCGCCCTTCATGAATCTCGTCACTCAGTGATACTGGCCTATGTTAAAATGTGGCGT